GAACACGGTTGGGGGACACGGTTGCCTAGATCATTACGTTGGAATTTACAAATGACCACAAATATCAATAAAGAGAGCTGGAAAACCAAAGGCAGCCGCGCCATATCCAATTTACGGCCAGGAGGCCCAAGAATAACTGCATCGAGATATTCCATGCCAAAATATAAGAAAAGGATGAGATACTATGCCGTAAGAATTAAGTCATCCGTTTTGGCGGAACTTCTTCCCCAATAAATCTTTTGTTATTATATTAGGATAGACTAGGATAGATATATACAAATAAACCCTAATACTCCCATATATAAGGTCGTCAAGCCCCTTCGCCGCCATTCATCCGTACATCACCTTCGTTCAGGGGAGATACATTGTTCCGATGCTCTCCGCCTTAACTCCGACCACTAAAAATCATCTATCCTCCTAACATCGTACACCATCCATACTTCTACACCAGAGAACTAACGGTGACACCGATGCTCTCATCCCAAATTGGTTCACCGATCTTTATTTGTAAAAAGGAGACTTTTCGTTAATCCCAAATTAACGTTAGTATAAGTTGATAAATCGGGTCAAGCCCATGTAGCATTTAATTGGTGGGCCTGTTGTATACGCCTATAAATAGGCCACAAACCCTTTGTATTCTGGGGAGTTATTTTGACGATACGGAATTGCTGCCAATTTCTTTACCCGAGTTATTTTCGACCAACACTTATGTTTGCTTAAGCTGAATTCTGGTCTACATTCACACATGCATTTTCCCACAATTTGTGAAAGGCTGAAATTATGGAACTCCCTCAGTTCCCTCTCGGCATAAATGGGAACACTTGTTTGCAATTTTAAAATTAATAACTTACCATTGAAACATAGTTTTTCCTTAGCTTGAGAAAGTTAATTAGTCAAAACGAACTATTAGTTTGAACTGTGTACAATGTAAATTATTCAATATACCATTATTAATAATAAATGAACAGAGGGAAGTTATAACTAATTATTGGAGTACATTTTAATTTTGATAAAAGTGCTTATGTGGCTAACCTACATAATTGTGTCTAAAAGAATCTTCTTTGACCTACATGGCTACATATGTAAGTTGAGTTTTGATTTAAGTTTCTTTCTTATACTCCGACTTTATATCAAGTTAAGTAAGAAGTTGTGACATTACTATGGATAGTTTTAATTTTATGAAAGTAAAATGTTTATTTTGGGACATTCGAATAAGAAAAATGAGAAGTTATTTTTTAAAAGTATATGATATTGTTCGATATCATTACGATGGCATGATATATGTCCATCTTATATATTGATGATATATCTAATTATTTTTTAATACAGGATGTTGGGTAATTACATTGATTATACATATATATGTGAGAGAATAAAATGTCATGATTTTGCGCATCAAAACTTTCTAATGAGGTACATGTGAAATACGGAAACAAAAAGGATCATATTAGGCTTGAACAATAATTCAAGGAAAAATTGATAGTAATAATCCCAACTATTGGCGGTCCGCTCATAATAATCCCAACTATTGATTATTCCAGAATAATCCCAACTTTAGGGACCTTCCGCCAATAATGGTCCCTATGAATAAATTCTTGTAGTTTCTAAAGTGAATGAGATGAGATATAACAAGTAATCCCTATAAATAATCTCAACTTTTAATTTTTACGCTTAATTTGTATTTAAAATTCACTTTTTATAGAGGTAATATCTGGTCATGGACCATTATTGGCGGATAGTCTATATAGTTGGGATTATACAAAAATAATCAATAGTTGGGATTATTTTCAGCGGACCGGCAATAGTTGGGATTATTATTTTCAATTTTTCCATAATTCAATTGTCAGGCATGCAATTACCACCACCCTTGATATCTACTTGAGAAAAGGTCAGCCATTTAGTTATATTAACAATCCAAAACTTACTATGATCAAAAATGGTTTGGGGAAAAGAGGTGAAATAAACCTTTTTATTATTTCTAATCGATCACTTAAACCCATGTATTAAAAAAATATCATTGAAATTCATTTACAATAAAAATAGTTGGGAAAACTATCAAATAAGCCCCTGTAGTATAGCCAAAAAATCAATTAAGCCCATGAACTATCAAAACACTCAATCAACCCCTCGAACTATAAAAAAACACCCACTTTTAACTTTTAACCGGTTAATTACCAATTCAGCCGGTAATTGTCTACGTGTACCCACGTGACTTTTGGATTTTTCATTTTTTTGGTCAGCCTTGCTTAGTCAATGAAAAAACTACGCATAGGAACTGTTCATCTACATTGCTAGTTTTTCTTCTACAAATAAACACAAAGAACAAGCTAATTTGGGAATCAATAATTATCTAGAGTCACTTGAGAAACGCCGGAATCTGCATGGCCGAAAGCCCGAAACCAAGCTTTTCACAGGCATCCCCTTCTCAGTAATATTAGAGAGTGTTTGCAATTGCTTCAACTTTAAAAAAGTGATTTTTTAAAGTGATTTGGGGAAAAGTGATTAATAGTAAAAGTTGGTAGTGTTTGAGAAAAAAGTGATTCTGAAAAAGTAAAAGTTGGTAGTGTTTGGTAAAATAAGTACTTTTTGTGTAATAGAAAAAGTGAAAAGCAGTTTAAAGCACCCTTCCACCTGCTTCCAGCTTTTAGCTTTTAAGTGATTAATTTAAGCAGAAGCTGTCATTTAAAAACACTCTTTTTAACTTTTTTTAAGCCAAAAGCTGAAAAGTGCTTTTTTTAATCAACTGCAAACACTCCTTTAATATGTGACTCTCCAATTTAGGAGAAGAAAGGATATAGTACAACCGCGAAGGAGAAGAATCAGGGGACGAACCAAACAAAAATACAGGCGGCGAAGCAGATAATAGGGAGCATCAAGCCCCAAGGGACACTCAATAACCCAAACAATCGACGACGACCAAGAGGATGAAGGTTGGTAGGTTTGAGCAAAAGGGGACCAATCCAAGAAGAAAAAAGCTAATAGGGAGAGAGAAAGAAGGGGAAGGGGAAGGGGAAGGGGAAGGTGGTCACCTTACAAGAGCGTCGACGGTGTAGTAGCGGTCGACCGCCGGCAATTAGGTGCAGAGAACGCTGGTGAATTTGGTGGCCTGGTCAGATGAGGAACGAGGGTGAGAATAAGGCATGGCTGGGCTGTGAAGTTGCTCCTACTGTACAAGAAAAACGAAAAAGAAAATGAAACAAAGAAGAAGAAAGCTAAATACCTGGAAAACATAAAATTAAAAAACAATAAAACCAGGTGGAAAGTCCACGTGGGCAATAACCCAGGGAACTTGTAGTCTACCTGCTAAAAGTTAAAATTGGGTGTTTTTTATAGTTGGAGGGGTTGATTGGGTGTTTTGATAGTTCGGGGGTTTAATTGACTTTTTGGCTATACTACAGGGGCTTATTTGACAGTTTTCCCAAAATAGTTCAATCCAGTCATTGAACCGGATTTTTGACTTGTAATAGCATATTTTTTATATTAAATAATTTTAAACAGTTGTTAAAATTCGAACAAATATAAATATAATCTCTGAACAATTTAAGAATGTTAAACTCTATATTTTGGCGATTTTGGACTTTTATATCCTACAATCTTTTAAAAAAGTTTTTAGATTTAAAATTAATAATTTTTACATATTCACTGTTTTCCATTTTTTTGATTTATTTTTAATTTTTAGCGTTTTAAAATATTGTTACTACATTATTTTTTCAAGCTTATATGAATTTTTATAAAATTTATTAATTTTATTAATTTATTTTTAAAAAATTACCTGTTATAACCAGTGTTCTAAAAGGCTGCTAAAGGCGCCGCCTAGGCCCGCATAAGCGTGAGGCGTGACCATAAAGCCTCGCATACCCCTAAGGCGAGGTAGAAGGCGGAAAATTTGCTATAGACTTCAATTTTAATCCACACGTTGTGTCACGCCCCGGACCTACCCGGACACGTCAACAATCCGCCGTACAGTACGAATGGTCAACCGCAGTCCAACACATTCATACTATACAAGGCGTCTGGGATATCATTCACACATAGTACATCCATAAACAAACATAATATAAAATATTCATTCAAAGCAGCGGAAACGTTTAATACAAGTGTTCAAGCCACACTTGGTGTAACATGGGCATACAAGCCATCAATAGTTATTCAAAAGATAACATCCATGAGCATTAATTTAAATGAGTTTAAAACAGGAACGGAGGGAGCACGAACCACGTCTTCTTCTCCTGAATTCTCTTGGAGCAACGGCGAGGGTAGCAACCTTCAAGTTCTACCCGAAACTGTGAGGTGGCCTCCCCCGTGAAGGGGAGGTCAGTACTTGGAAGCATTTGACAAGTACAATGACAACTATACTAAGTATAATCAAAGTTTCAATTTCCAAGACCCTCAATCTAGGATGTTATTATATTATAGGTCATAACCCATGGTTACCCTCTTTGAAAGTATACTTACTTTATATATAAAGTCAAGTAATCGCCCGAAGGCCCATGTTTACTTTGAAAACATTTAACCCTTTCCCTGTGACTTCAAGCCACACCCATCTATATTAGTTTACCATGCTAGAGGCTTCCTCTAGTCATGTTTTGTCGTGCTAGAGGCTTACTCTAGTCACTCCACTTGGTGTTAGAGGCTTCCTCTAATCACCTTACATACGTTGTGCTGGAGGCTTCCTCCAGTCACATTACGTTACGCTAGAGGCTTCCTCTAGTCGTCCTACACGAATGCTGGAGGCTTCCTCCACTCATTCTTCATCGTGCTAGAGGCTTCCTCTAGTCACGATATGATGTGAGTTTTCTCGCACTTAAAAAGATTGTAATATAGTGGTGTAAGTACGAGTATCGTCTCCACAGGGACGGACAAAAGGGAATCAAGAATTAATTAAATTCAGCGACTAAAAAGAAAATAAAATAAAAACGTCGTGCGAGATTGGTTGGTTTGGAAAATAAAACTAATGCGAACATGTAACACCTCCAAATTTCCCTCCCAAAATAATACTTAAGAAATAATAAACTTTATTAATTATTCAAAACTTTCAATTTGTTTGCAGCGGAATTAAACAATAACAAAGAAACGGGGTGTGTTACCGCCACATCCAGCCCTAAACCGACTGGATGCTAAGGCTATCCACCAAAAATGTATCTAAAGAAATATTCAATTCAACATTTGTAATAATAAAATCTAACAATGTTTATTCTAAATGTGACTACTCTAAAAGTCTTCTAGGAGCGCTCTCAAGGCATCAATCTTCATAAACCACATCATCTGTAACATAAGAAAATAAAAGAAACAAATAACACAAAAATTAGCTTTAGAGCTAAGTAAGTCCCACCCAACCCCGTAAAATAATAGGTTTGGTGAAAATAATATTTTGTATACCATATATACGAAAATGTGGTCAAGAGATAGATTTTATGGTATACTTCTAAAAAAAAGGATGATCCTCACTTTTATTAAAAATATTTTCTTCAATAGGTACTCTAGTAATGTCTTAAAATATAATTGTATTAACTTCCTAATACATTTGAAGGGCGGTGCTCAACATTTTATTGAGCCCGATGGTCCGTTGTTATGTACGGCCACCCCGGGACTTTTGCCGGTACCACTTCTAACCTGAGGAAACTGAACCTCTACCTTAAGTGTGCACACCCTCTAAAAGGGATTCCAAGCCCTCCGAGTAGTAAGAAGTCCAAGTAGTTCGGACGTCAACGTCCCCCTACTCCACCAAAAAGGGATTACCCTATATAAGTGACTAGGTTACTGCTACTACTGAATAACAGGGTCTTTTGCCCGAATTTGAATTTCAATAAAACAACCACTTTAACCAATCTCCACAGTCAAGGTCGTAGACACCAAATCCCAACAAGTAATAGCAGTCCTAATCACTCTCCACAGTCAAGGTCGTGGAGGACACCGACATCCCGGATTTCTCCCGTGATGCCCTTACATTGAAAGGTTCATTTTATCTTTATTATTTTCCAAAAATTCAGGGATTACTACTCACGTAATTTCCCCAAAGTTATTAACATTCAACAATGCATCACATATTCACAAATTGCTCAACAAATAGTCAAATAATACAAATTTCACATTTCATACATACAATATATACGAGGTAAAAATGCACTTTGGTTGCAATGTGACTTACCTCAAATTCCAGAGATTCCTAACAAGCTTCTCTAACGTCTTCCTCTCCAAGTTCACCTTCTATTAATTAGAATTCCCAAGGTCAATATTTGCTCTAACTTAAAGTATAATTGTTCTACCCTTTCCGTTAATGATTATACTTTTCTATTTTATCCTAAAAGTTCACAATAACTCATTTATTCGTTATACTATATTTAATCTGTTTGTGTTCATTTGAAATTTTATTTATAACAACCCGACACTATTAGTTGTGCTGGATTAATCCCTTTATACTTGCCCATTTTCTCTTATTTATTTTATTTATAAACTCATCCGTTTGTTAAATTCACTTACATAGTTAGCCTTTTATTATGATGATAATTCCTAATTCCTTAATAATCATCTTAAGCCATTAAAATGTACTAATCATTATCAGTCGTGTTTAGTTTCTAAAATACTCGAGTCTATATAATTAATTAATTTAATAATTTTATTTCTAATTATAAGCCGAATTAGCAATCGATCCAGTATTATATTATGTTAGATGTAAATTGAGTCCACTTTAATTTTATGACTAACGATCATCTATTCGAATTTTATACTAGTGGTCTGTAAATTTTATTATGATCCAAAAATCCATTTTATAGTAATTTAATCGGTGAAGTTTAATAGTCCAGAGTCGTCCGATCAATTCACATCAACTCCAAATTTCAAATTCAACAAACCAATATTATTGTACGTCCTAATAAGTCAGGTATAATCTTCTGTAATGAAAAGCTATTTTATCTTTGCACTGATCGGTCTATCCATTTACATTAATTCAGTATTATTATCATTCAATTGAAATTTAATCAATCCGGTTTAACTAAAACATTCCTATTTTCATTTTAAATCTCAGTTAGTCCATTCGGTGATAGTCATTCAATTCTAAGTAGACCATTAATATATTTATCATTATTATTTATTTTAACAACAACATCCAGATTAATCCAAAATCATTAATTACGATCAATCCAGGTTATTACTATTATTATTATTATTATTATTATTATTATTATTATTATTTTCTTACAAGTGAATTAGTCCATAAGTTATTATATTATCATTACATAGGCGGCATCAGTTAGTATAATATCAGTCCAGATCTTTAATATTACTATTATTAAATCACAACCCAATTCACATTTAATCAATTATAAGCAGATCGTAAGGTAAAGATCATCTATTTTACTTTCACATTAGTTGGTCCGTTCATTTTACTGTAAGCCAAGGAATCCAATTAATCGGCTTCAACTAAAGTAATAACATATAATCAAGGTTCTATTTTAATCCATTCTTTCTATTGATATACTCCGTACTTCTTATATTCATTCAATTTTATCTAGACCAATAATTCCATAACCAAACCAGTCCATAAATATTATCATCCCCATCATTACGTTACTGTTTATTACGAGTAATTTCGAACAGTCCTTATATACCATATTAAACACTTCAATACTGTTATTACTTGTTCTAGTTTATATTTTAACCAGTTCGGTCCATATTAACAAGTCCACATTCACCGTCTTCTTCGCATGGTCACTCTAGAAATTAAAAAAAAACGCAGATGTGCGGGTTACCTTTTTTTTTTTTACGATGTTTTGGTGACGCGGCGGCGGGCGGTGGGCAGCAACAGGTTGGCTCGGCAGAGATCTGCAACGTTCGTCCTTCTCCGGCGAACTCCGGCACTCCACGGTCGGCTTTTCTTCTCCTTCCGTCACCCTCTCGCACTCACGTTTTTTTTTTCTTTCTTTTCTCTCGCAGACTCTCAAGTATGGAAGCCTAGCTTCTTGGTTTGTTTGTGTGTAGGTTATCAACGATGTGCTGCTATTTATAGGGGTGACCGAAGGTTCTAGGTTTCTAAGGATTGGCTTGGTTGGTCTTATCCGATTAGCTCAATCCGTAATGAATAACTCGCTAATACTTCGTTCATCATTCTTATCGCATGCACAAGTTATTTGTATATCAATATTATACGTATCATGATATGTATATGTGGTTATATGCTTAAGTTTGAAAAGTCAAACTACCTTTATAATTCTTAGGCATTAGTTATATGTGTATGTGCTTATAACTAAATTATATATATATATATATATATATATATATATATATATATGCCATTGTTATTATTATATACTCCGTCCGTTCGTACTTAGTAGACTTAATGCTACTTCGTATTATTGATATTAGTTTATCACCCGAAAAAACATTATCTTATTCACTCAATTAAAAATGTCACTTTTGTAACAATTTCAATTGATCTTATTAAAATTATTCCTTTTATTTTTATTATCATTTTCGAAGTGTCACATTCTACCCTCCTTAAAAGATGTTTCGTCCCGAAACATAAACTAATATCTACTATCTATACTATAAAATTACTAAGTGTTACATTCTACCCCCCTTAAAGAAAGGTTACGTCCCCGTAACTAAATTTTTACCTTGACTAAACAGCTCGGGATAACGTTTTCTCATGTCATCCTCGGTCTCCCATGTGGCATTTTCAGCCAAGTGATTTGACCACAGTACTTTGACCATTTTGATGGCCTTCCTCCGAGTTTCACGTGTCTTTGTGTCCAAAATCTTCACAGGCCTTTCCTCATACGTCAAGGTTTCGTCCAACTCAATCACCTAATTACATAATGGGTTATTTTAATGTCTACCAATCGCATCCTAGCTATTTTTTTAAAGTGAGGTTCTTACCTCCGGGTTTAAGATATGCGCCTCATCACGGATATACTTCTTTAGTTGAGATATATGGAAAACATCGTGTACCTTGCACACGCCAAAATGATTTTAGCTTTGCATTTTAAACTTCCAAATAACTTTAAAAAGAAGTGATTTACTTCATACCTTACTCAATTCCGTGGGTAGAGCTAGTTTGTAAGCTACTCTTCCCACCTTCTCCAGAATCTCGTAAGGCCCAATGAATCGAGGACTTAGCTTGCCCTTCCTTCCAAATCTCATGACGCCTTTAGTAGGAGAGACTTTGAGGAGTACTTTTTCTCCTACCTCGAACTCAGCTGGTTTTCTTCCTAGGTCCGCATATGACTTTTGTCTGTCTTGCGCTGCCTTCATCCTTGCCTGAATAAGCTTGATCTTCTCCATCGTGTTTTGCAAACATTGCGGCCCTAAGACAACCTGGTCCACCATATCACCCCAGCACAAAGGACTTCTACACTTTTGACCATATAGAGCCTCGTATGGAGCCATTTTAATGCTCGTATGATAGCTATTGTTATATGAGAACTCTATTAGGTCCAAGTGTTCATCCCATGACCCTTGTAGGTCCAGTACACATGCTCTCAGCATATCTTCGAGTGTCTGAATTGTTCTTTCCGTCTGACCATCTGTCATCGGATGAAATGCTGTGCTTAGCTTTAGTGTGGTTCCCATAGCAACTTGAAGTTCCCTCCAAAATTGGGATAAGAATCTAGAATCTCTATCAGATACAATATCTCGGGGTACACCGTGATACTTGACCACATGCTTGATGTAGGCTTTTGCCAGCTTATCCATGCTCCAAGTTTCATTCATGGGAATGAACCTAGCGGTCTTGGTCAATCTATCAACGATTACCCAAATCTTATCCTTCCCGGACTTTGTTAAAGGCAAACCCCCAACAAAGTCCATCGAGATTGAGTCCCACTTCCACGTTGGTACCTCCAAGGGTTGCACAAGTCCCTTGGGCTTGCATCTCTCGGCTTTCACTTTTTGACAGTTTAAGCATCGAGCCACAAACTCTGCCACTTCATTTTTCATTCTCGGCCACCAAAAGTTTTGCTTCAGATCTTTATACAATTTGTCTCCTCCCGGGTGTACCGAATAGGGCGTGTTGTGTCCTTCTTCCATGATTTGCTTTTTGATGTGCTCACATTTCATCGGGACACACCATCTTCCCTTATAGCGAATACTCCCGTCTTCGTGTAGCTGAAATGGTCCGTTGACCCCATTCTTCATCCCAGCCTTGACTCGTTCAAGCTTCACATCTCCTGATTGACTCGCTTTGATTTCATCGAAGATAGAGGGTAAAATGGTCATTTTGTATAACCGGATTTCACTCTCCACTTCACCGCACTCCTTCACCTCCAAGTCTAGTCGTTGGAATTCCCGATATAACTCTTCCGGAAGTATCCACATTGCTCTGCCGTGTTCCGTCTTCCTGCTTAAGGCATCAGCTACAACATTTGCTTTCCCTTCATGGTACTGAATTTCGAGATCATAGTCTTTGACTAGCTCTAGCCACCTCCGTTGTCGCATATTGAGCTCTTTTTGGGTGAAGATGTACTTAAGGCTTTTGTGATCGGTGTATATCTTGCACGGTGGTCCGTACAAGTAGTGCCTCCATATCTTCAAAGCAAACACTACTGCTGCTAACTCAAGGTCGTGGGTTGGGTAGTTGACCTCGTGCACCCTTAGTTGTCGGGATGCATAGGCTACAACCTTCCCATTCTGCATCAGCACACAACCTAGTCCATTCTTGGATGCATCGCAATATATTTCAAACCCATCAGTTCCCGAAGGAAGTGTCATTACTGGTGCAGTCGTCAGTCTTTTCTTCAGCTCCTCGAATGCTCTCTCACAATCATCCGTCCACTGGAACTTTGTAGTCTTCTTCATCAAATTGGTTAATGGTCTAGCTATCTTGGAGAAATCTTTGACAAATCTCCGATAGTATCCCGCTAACCCAAGAAAACTCCGCACTTCGGTGACAGTGGTTGGTGCTCGCCACTCGGTTACCGCTTCGATCTTTGATGGGTCCACCGACACTCCATATCGAGTGATGATGTGACCCAGAAATGCTACTCGGTCTTTCCAAAAGTCACACTTGGAAAGCTTGGCATAAAGTTGATGCTCTCTTAAGGTTTGTAAAACAACCCTAAGATGTTCTTCATGATCCTTCTCGTTCTTCGAGTACACCAGGATATCATCAATAAATACCACCACAAATGTATCAAGATAGGGGCGAAATACACGGTTCATTAGGTCCATGAACACCGCAGGTGCGTTAGTTAGACCAAACGGCATCACGGTGAACTCATAGTGCCCATATCTCGTACGAAATGCAGTCTTCGGTATATCCTTCTCCGCTATCCTCACTTGATGGTAGCCAGAGCGAAGGTCAATCTTGGAAAATATGCCCGCCCCCTTCAGTTGATCGAACAGGTCATCGATACGGGGCAAAGGGTATCGATTCTTGATAGTAACACGGTTCAGCTCTCGGTAGTCAATACACAGCCTCAAGGTACCGTCTTTCTTCTTGACAAAGAGAACCGGAGCGCCCCATGGTGAGACACTCGGCTTGATGTAGCCTTTATCGAGTAGTTCCTCAAGTTGCTCTTTCAGTTCTTGCATCTCCTTCGGAGCCATCCTGTACGGTGCCTTGGAAATCGGTGTAGTACCCGGCATTAAGTCAATGGAGAACTCAACCTCCCTTTCCGGAGGCATCCCCAGAATCTCTTCCGGAAACACATCGGGAAATTCATTGACCACAGGGATCTGATCAATCGTTTGCTCTTCATTGTGGGTCTCCTTCATCATACAAAGGTATGCTTCGCATCCCTTCCGGATGTACCTCCTCATTTGCCGCATTGTCATCAACTTGACATCAGGTTTGTTTGTCACTGCCTTGAATGATATCCGCTTCCCACTCGGGCTCTTCATGGTCACCTTGTGCTCGTTGCACAAGATCTTCGCCTTGTAACTCCCGAGCCAATCCATGCCCAGCACCACTTCAATGTCTTCGAGGTCAAATTGGACCAAGTCTCCAGGCAGATTAACATTATCTATGACTATAGGTACATTCATGTATACATTTCTACAAGCTACCACTCTATTGTTTGCTGTTTTTACATTCAACTCTATGCTAGCTGCAGGTTCTATCTTTAACTTCTCAACAAATTTAGAAGAGATAAAACTGTGAGAAGCACCAGAATCAAACAGAACGTAAGCAGGAGTGTTATTAACATGGATTGTACCTGAAACCACGTCATGGGCCTTCGCTTGTGCCTTGTTCATCACGTATATGCGGCCCTGATTTCTTTGGTTGCCCCCGCCTTGGTTCTGATTCTGGTTCTGGTTCTGATTGCGGTTGGCATCACGGTCGCGATTGTTATTGTTGTGATTTCCCGGCCTATTCCCCTCCTGATTTCCACCTTGGTTTGCACCTCCTCGGTTAGGCCCTTGGTTTTGATGACCTGCCTTTTCTTTGTTTAGGCATTCGAATGCCCGATGTCCCCTCTTCCCGCAAATGAAACAGTTCACCACTTTTCCATCACAGTCAACACCAGGGTGATCTCGTTGGCACAACTTGCAATGGTAATGCCTGTCTCTTGGCACATATCGTTGATCTTGCCTTGGACCATGCCCAGGGAATCTCCTTCCATCTTGTGGACGATCTTCCCTCCTCCCCGTGGGTTGTTGTTCCTGCTGATGAGTCTTGAGCCTCTTCTCCCTTGCCTTATTCTCCTCCTCGTTCTTCCGGATTTTCTTATGGGCTTCTCGCTGGCGTTGTACTACCCGATAGTGCTTCGCAGCCTTGTAATAGGCATCATCTAATGTTTGCCATTCTTGTACTGTCATCATCTTCTGTGTGTCGTAGTTCAGTCCTTCGATGAACTTCTCGATCTTGCTCTCCTCATCGGGTACAAGTGATGTTGCAAATTCTGCTAGGGTAACAAATTGACTGTGATATTCTTGCACCGTCATGTCCCCCTGCTTCAAGTGTAGGAACTTGTCACGATTTTCTGCTTGCACATGGGGCGGGTAAAATCTCTTTCGCAGTGCACGCTTGAACCGATCCCAAGTGAAGTCCGGTTGTGCGCTCATCCCTGGTCCCACATGAACCCACCATTTATCTGCTTCTTCATGCAGATAATAAACAGCAAT